AGGCAGGCAATCAAGCCACTTCTCTGAACGTCCTCCGTGCCCCACTAAGAGTCGCTAGAGGTCGCCATGACTTCCAGGCATGGACACACACACACACACAAATTCAAAAATACCGCAATAAAAGAATTTCTGGGCACTTGATGAAATTGATGAGCAGTAAAAGGAAGCACCTCTTCACCCAAAGAGTGAAGAACACATGGAATTCACTGCCACAGGAGGTGGCGGCGGCTACAAGATTGGGCAGTTCACGAGGGGACTGGATAAGCATATGGAGCAGAGGTCCATCGGTGGCTTTTAGCCACAAGGTATAGAGGGAACACTCTGTCTGGGGCAGTGATGCTCTGTGTTCTTGGTGCTTGGGGGACAACAGCGGGAGGGCTTCTGGAGTTCTGGCCCTGCTGGTGGACCTCCTGATGGCCCCTGGGCTTTGGCCACTGTGTGACACAGAGTGTTGGACTGGATAGGCCATTGGCCTGAACCAACATGGCTTTGGTGCTTGGGGGCCCACAGTGGGAGGACTTCTGGAGTTCTGGCCCCACTGGTGGACCTCCTGATGGCCCCTGGGTTTTGGCTACTGTGTGAGACAGAGCATTGGACTGAATGGGCCATTGGCCTGATCCAGCATAGCTTCTCTTATGTTCTTATGTCTGGGGCAGTGATGCTCTGTATTCTAGGTGCTTGGGGGGGCACAGTGGGAGGGCCTCTGGAGGTCTTGGCCTGCTGGTGGATCTCCTGATGGCCCCTGGGTTTTGGCCACTGTGTGACACAGAGCGTTGGACGGCATGGGCCATTGGCCTGATCCAGCATGGCTTCTCAAGTTCTTATGAAATAATGCCAACCTTCAGTTGAGGTCTGGGGTCCTCCCAGAATTTCACCCTATATCCAGACTACAGAGATCAGTCCCCCTGGGCGAAATGGCAGTGTTGGAGAACGGACTCTATGGCATTATACCTCGCTGAGATCCCTCCCCTTCCCAAACCCCACCCTCCTCAGGCTCCTCCCCTAAATCTCCAGGGATTTCACAACCTGGGGTTGGCAACCCTAAATAGAACAGATCAAATAGAACAGATCAAATAGAACAAATATTAGGTGCGGCTCCTTGGTCAAATGCCTGGTGGAAGAGCTCCGTCTTGCAGGCCCTGGGGAACTGTAAAAGATCCCGCAGGGCCCTAGCGTCTTCCGGGAGCTCATTCTACCAGCGCGGAGCCACCACTGAGAAGGCCCTGGCCCTGGTCGTAGCTAAATCCAAACAAAACAGACCTCCCAGTAATCACACAGCCAAGGAAACAAAACAAAACTGGGGCCAATATAGAACCAATAATACACTCTAAAACATGAGTAGTATGCTGAATACAATTGCTTTATACTAGATAGTTACTATAAAGTATACAAAATTTCCCCAAATATTTACAACAATAAGAATACAATAGAATGTCAGTGGCTGCCAACAGCCTCAAGATAACAGTGGAATTCCTAAACAGTTACTGTTGGCAGTCAAAAAAGTATAAGGCTTAATGAGCTAAAAGCTACTGGAGCTTGACGAAGCAGCCGGCTTACACTTGGTTTCGTCTAGTGACTTCCTCATAAGCAGCTTAACTGATGTTGTATATAAGTTTTCTTAATATGTGTATTTTCCTGGTTTTTAAGATACTTCTCTAGAGTTGCTACCTTTAATATAGGGACTAGCCCTTATTTCCTTGGACCATATCTCCTATGGGACCTGTCCTTGATACTCATGTTTTAGAGTGTATTATTGGTTCTATATTGGCCCCAGTTTTGTATTGTTTCCTTGGCCTGGTCGTAGCTAGCCTGGCATCTTTGGGACTCGGGAGGGCCAGACGGTTTTCAGACCCTGAACCCAATGCTCTCTAGGGAACATGTGGGGACAGGCGGTCCCTCAGGTATGTAGGCCCCTGACCATAAAGGGCTTTAAAGCTGAGATTTTACTTTGGCCTGTTGTGGCCAACAACTTCTTTCTACCTTGGAAGGCGGGGGGAAATCTCGCATCTGGGGGTGTCAGTTTCAATAGGAGTAATCCTCACCCCAGTCTCAACTGGAGACCTGCAAGGTAGCCAACCTCCAGGTCGGGGCCGGAGAACTCTCAGAATTCCCACTGATATCCTGACTACAGAGGTCAGTGCCCCTGGTGAAAATGGCTGCTTTGGAGGGTGGACTCTATGGCATTATGGCCCATGGTGGTCCCTCCAAACCCCGCCCTCTAGAGACTCCACCCCCAAATCTCCAGGAATTCCCCACCCCAAAGTTGGCATCCCCAGGCTTTGCACAATTGCAATTTAACTCTTAAAACAATGCAGGGATATCCAGTCACGAATCTCTCAGCATCTCATGTATTTCAGCCTTCCAAAGTAATGCACGGTCGGTCCTACTTGTTTCAGGGATTTTCAAAGTGACTACTTCAAAAATAAGTGAGGGCATCTGAGCATATGCAAAGTTCGTTTCCTTCACAGCCTGAAAGAAGTAGGATGCATCTGGGAGGACCCCTCTCCGGTGCCTCTCCCTTTTCAGGGATTAAGCCCAGCCTGTTTGGGGTTTGGGGGGTGCCAACAGAACGTTCCCTCTAAGCTGAGTTAGTGTGAGCCAGCTCACGGTTCTTTAGCCTCCGGCTCACACATTTTTGCCTTCGCTCAGGAAGGAGGGCTCCAGAGCAAACTGATTTATGCAGTAGCCAAATGGCTCGCTCACAACCTTAATGCCGGTAGCTCACAAAGTAGAATTTTTGCTCACAAGACTCCACAGCTTAGAGGGAAAGCCGCCCTGACGCTCTCTCATTGGCCACCTGCAGGGGAGCCCGAGTTCCGCTACGTGGCCGGGATGCACGGGAACGAGGCGCTGGGCCGGGAGCTGCTGCTCAACCTGATGGAGTACCTGTGCCAGGAGTTCCGACGGGGCGACCCCCGTGTCGTCCGGCTCGTGACCGAGACCCGCATCCACCTACTGCCCTCCATGAACCCAGATGGCTACGAGACGGCCTACAAGCTGGTGGGTGGCGTGGGGGCACCAGAGGTTCCGTGGAAGGGGGCTGGCTGCCGCTCAGTGGCAGAACCTCTGCTCAGAGAGCCAGCTTGGTGTCGTGGTGAAGAGCGCGGACTCTAATCTGGGAGAACCGGGTTTGATTCCCCACTCCTCTTCCACATGCAGCTGCTGGTGTGACTTTGGGTCAGTCACAAGTTCTCTCAGAGCTGTTCTCTCAAGAGCGTTCCTCTAAAGAGCTCTCTCAGCCCCGCCTACCTCCCAGGGTGTCTGTTGTGGGGAGGGGAAGGGAAAGGAGCTTGTGAGACGCTCTGAGACTCCTTTGGGTAGTGAAGGGTGGGATATAAATCCAATCTCTTCTCTTCTTCTTCTACCTCACAGGGTGTCTGTTGTGGGGAGGGGAAGGGAAAGGAGATTGTAAGCCGCTCTGAGACTCCTTTGGGTAGTGAAGGGCGGGGTATAAATCCAATCTCTTCTCTTCTTCTTCTTCTACCTCACAGGGTGTCTGTTGTGGGGAGGGGAAGGGAAAGGAGATTGTAAGCCGCTCTGAGACTCCTTTGGGTAGTGAAGGGCGGGGTATAAATCCAATCTCTTCTCTTCTTCTTCTTCTACCTCACAGGGTGTCTGTTGTGGGGAGGGGAAGGGAAAGGAGTTTGTAAGCCGCTCTGAGAGTCCTTTGGGTAGTGAAGGGCGGGGCATAAATCCAATCTCCTCCTCCTCCTTCCTCTCTCTTTCTCTCAGCCCGACCTACCTCATAGGGTTGTTGTTGACATATTGGGATAAAACAAGGGGGAGTTGTGTACACTGCCATGAGATCCAGGGAAGAAGGTGTGAGGTAAAAGACAAAATGGATTTTCTTTTGTCCCCCCCGGCAGGGCTCGGAGCTGTCCGGCTGGGCCATGGGCCGGTGGACTTACGAAGGCTTCGACCTCAACCACAACTTTGCGGACCTCAACACGGCCCTGTGGGATGCGGAGGACAACGAGCTGGTGCCCCACAAGTTCCCCAACCATTACATCCCCATTCCGGAGTACTACACCTTCCCCAATGCGACAGTAGGCGTCTTTACCGCCACGCGGGGTCAGACTCGGGTGGGGGAGCCCGGGGAGGGCCAGGGACCCCCCTGGGGTACAACGCCAAAGATTCCGCCCTCCAAAGCAGCCATTTTCTCCAGGGGGACTGATCTCTGTAGTCTGGAGATGGGCTGTAATTCCAGGGGACCCCCAGGCCCCCCTGGAGGCTGACATCCCTATCCACAACCCACAAGCCCCCGCTCACTCCTGCCACAACTGTATTATTATTTATTGATTATTTATGAATTGCCCAACCCCTGCTTCTGCAGGGCTCTGGGCAACGTACAACCACAAATAAAACAAGATAACATCAGTTAGAACATCAGTAAAGGGAAATGGTTTCCCTTCCGCAAAAGCCAGTCGAGTCCGACTCTAGGGTTGCGGTGCTCATCTCCGTTTCCAAGCCGAAGAGCCGGTGCTGTCCGAAAACGTTTCTGTGGCCATGTGGCCGGCATGACTAGATGCTGAGGTGCACAGAACGCTGTTACCTTCCCACCGAAGCAGTACCTATTTATCTATTTGCAGTTTCTTGCTTTCGAACTGCTAGGTTGGCAGGAGCTGGGACCGGAGACGGGAGGTCTGTCATGCGGCACCCGGGTCTTGAACTGCTGAGTTACAGACCTTCCAGCCTGCAGTTCAGCGTCTTAACCACTTGAGCCACCGCAGCTCAGTTAAAATATTAGTAGAACATTAAAGACAATCCGATGGCGAATACCCAATCCCCATTCCAACTCCCCCTGCTGGCTACTTCATGGATGGGGGGGGGGAAGAGGGCAAAATCAGGGGTCATTTAATAGATAAAGAGGTGCAGGAGCTCATTAGCATAACTTATTTGCATATGCCACACCCCTTGATATCACCGGAAGTGTGTCAGAAGGCAACACCCACTGCAACTTACCTGGCTGCTTCTTGCTCTGACTGAGGGCTGCTGGGAGCAGGGGGTGGGGCTAGTTGCATGTGCCCGCCCCCTTGGCTCTTTACTGCCGGGGCACCGCTCCTGTGCGCTCCTGCAGGAAATGACCCCTGGGCAAAATAGATGTAAACAACAGAGAACAGAGACCCAGAAAAGATACTGGCCCACCACACACACCCCATGTTGCAGTCCCATCTAGGAGGGGGTGATGAAGCCCCAGGTATTCGCCAAGACACAGTGGGGGGGTCCCACGGCCCTGCCCCGGTTCTCCGAACCCCAGTTGCCTCTCTTCCGTCCCCCCACTTGTAGGTCGCCCCCGAAACCCGGGCTGTCATCAGCTGGATGCAACGCTACCCTTTCGTGCTCAGCGCCAACTTGCACGGGGGCGAGCTGGTGGTGACGTACCCCTTCGACATGACCCGCACGTACTGGAAGGCCCAGGAGCTGACCCCCACGGCCGACGACGCCGTCTTCCGCTGGCTGGCCACCGTCTACGCCACCTCCAACCTGGTCATGCTGGAGGATGACCGGCGGCTCTGCCATTACGACGACTTCATGCGGGAGGGGAACATCATCAACGGCGCCAACTGGCACACCGTGGCCGGAAGTAGGTGGACGGTGGGGTGGGGCAAGCGGTCGGCCTGGAAATCCTTACAGGGATTAATGGGGCTGTTCTTATTGGGGAGGTTGGAGAGATGGTGTGGCGTGGTGGGCAGAGCGGCCAACTAGGGCTCTGGGCGACCCAAGATCGAAACCGGGGCAGCCTCCGAATGCAGCTGCCGGTGTGACCGTGGGTCTGTCCCAAGTTCTCTCGGAGCTGTTCTCTCAGGAGCAGTCCTCGAAAGAGCTCTCTCAGCCCCATCGACCTCACAGGGTGTCTGTTGTGGGGCGGGGAAGGGAAAGGAGACTGTAAGCCGCTCTGAGACTTTGAGTGAAGGGTGGGGTATAAATCCAGTCTCCTCCTCCCCCCTTGTGCATCTACATGGGGTTGGAGCACCTTCCGGCCTCCTTTCTCAGGCCGCTGTTCCATGCAGGCAAGCACCTTCGCAGGAAATTGTCCAGCACAATAACCAGCACGCAGAATCCGTGTTGATTCCTGCAACGTTTTTAAAAATCTGCACAGCAGAATCGGCGTTGCTGTCAGATGGCCACCTAGCCTCTGTTTGAAAAACTCCCAAGGAGTCATGAAGTTGCGAAATTCTCTACCGGTGGCTGTTGCCATGGCCGCAAGTGTGGATGGCTTTAAAAAGGGAGCCTCCATATTCAGGGGCAGTGCTAGGAGGCAACGTCAAGGGAAGACCTCAGCCTCTGTGCCCTGCTTGATTGGCTACTGCGGGAAACAGGACGCTGGACTAGATGGACCACTGCTCTGATCCAGCAGGGCTGTTCTGATTTTTTTAAAGGAGTCCATTGTGAAGACTGTAAAAATGCAACATTGTACCTAGATCAGAATTAAAGGTAAAGGTTTCCCTTGCTCGAAAGCCAGTCGAATCCGACTCTAGGGTTGCGGTGCTCATCTCCGTTTCCAAGCCAAAGAGCCAGCGCTGTCCGAAGACGTCTCCGTGGTCATCGGGCTGGCATGACTAAACGTTGAGGCGCATGAATGCTGTTACCTTCCCACCGAAGTGGTACCTATTTATCTACTTGCAGTTTCTCGCTTTCAAACTGCTAGGTTGGCAGGAGCTGGGGCCAGAGATGGGAGCTCACTCCGTCACGTGGCACACTCGGGTCTCAAACTGCCGAACGACAGACCTTCCGGTCTGCAGTTCAGCGTCTTAACCTCTGTGGCCCTCAGATCAGAATTAGTAAAGGTAAAGGTTCCCTTGCTCGAAAGCCAGTCGAATCCGACTCTAGGGTTGCGGTGCTCATCTCCGTTTCAAAGCCGAAGAGCCAGCGCTGTCCGAAGACGTTTCCGTGGTCATGTGGCCGGCATGACTGAACACGGAACGCTGTTCCCTTCCCACCGAAGTGGTACCTATTTATCTACTGCAATTTCTTGCTTTCGAACTGCTAGGTTGGCAGGAGAGATCAGAATTACCAGGACTTTAATCAGAATCTTTGTAGCGTATTAAACCAAGGTCACTGTGTGCAGTTACGGTGCATCCCCTCTTTCCCAAGAGTATTTCCGAAATGCATAAAGAAGTAAGCATTCCTTAAAATAAGGAACACGTGGCCAGCTTTCTTGGGATCAGCAGAGGGGGGGTGACCCGGGAGGGGCTCTCGAGGGCTGCCGTTCATGGCGTTAGTGCCCCCTCCTGGCCAACTCGGGTCTTGCATCTCTCTGCAGGCATGAATGACTTCAGCTACCTTCACACCAACTGCTTCGAGGTCACCATCGAGTTGTCCTGCGACAAATTCCCGCATGAGTCGGAGCTGCCCCAAGAGTGGGAGAACAACAAGGAATCCTTGCTGGTCTACATGGAACAGGTCCGAGGGGGCTCTGCCGACGATGCGACCGGGGAGGGCAGGATTGGAGCACTGAAGGATGCATTTCTTCCACAGAATCTCTCCCGTTTTCGATCATAACTAAATAACATCCAGCCCATTTGGTGTTGTGGTTAAGTGCGCGGACTCTAATCTGGGAGAACTGTGTTTGATTCCCCACTCCTCCTCCACTTGCAGCTGCTGGATGACCTTGGGCAAGCCATAGTTCTCTCAGAGCTGTTCTTGGAAAAGAGCCCCACCTTCCTCTCACAGGGTGTCTGTTGTGGGGAGGGGGAAGAGAAAGGAGTTTGTAAGTCGCTCTGAGATTCCTTTGGGTACGGGGTATAAATCCAATCTCCTCCTCTCCTCTTTTGGCCATCGTGGGACCAGGTTCAATGCTGTGCCACTCCTGAACTGGCCGGACCAATGCTGAATAGTTGGCAAGGCTGCTGAGCCCAGATTCTGCCCTGGTTTTTGTTGTTGTTGTTCAGTCGCAAAGTCGAGTCCAACTCTTCGCGACCCCATGGACCAGATCACGCCAGGCCCTCCTGTCTTCCGCCGTCCTCCGGAGTTGGCTCAATTTCATGTTTGTTGCATCTATGACACTGTCTGACCATCTCATCCTTTACCGTCCCCGTCTTCTTTGACCTTCAATCTTTCCCAGCATCAGGGTCTTCTCCAGTGAGTGCTCCCTTCTCATTGGGTGGCCAAAGTATTTGAGCTTCAGTTCATCCCAGCTGGGTGTTTCCCCCGTTCTTCATATGTGGCGATAGACTCTTAAGGGCAATAGCGGCACGGTTATCAGTGTTGTGGCGCAGATCTGTCCTTCCTCTGGCTGAACTGTAAACACGGCAAGGGTAGCTTTTGAAGTTGACTAGTGTGGCGTATCTCCATTGGTCCCTCAAGGTCAGTATTGTCTACTCAGACTGGCAGCAGCTCTCCGGCATTTCCCACTAGAGGTCTTTCATGTCACCTTTTTAACTGGAGAGGCCAGGGATTGAACCTGGAACCTGCTGCATGCCAAGCAGATGTTCTACCGCTGAGCCATAGCCCCTCTTTACAGCTCTCCAGGGCCTCAGGCTGAATTCTTCCACAGCACCTTCTACCTGGTCCCTTTTTTAACTGGAGAGGCCGGGGATTGAACCTGGGACCTGCTGCATGCCAAGCAGATGCTCAGCCACTGAGCCAGGCAATGAGAAGCGTTGAACGGAGGGGAGAAACAGAGGAATTGGGTAGTGGATGATGCTTTATTTGAGTTCTTTGCGATGCCCTGGGTGCACATCTCTTTCAGTGTGTTGTGCTGTCTCTTTCAAGAGAGCCACTAACTGTGCCTGTTTTTTTCCAAGTGGGTGAGTGATTTGGCTACTGCATGAGTTAGCTTGCTCTGGAGCCCTCCTTCCTGAGCTGAGACAAAAATGTGTGAGCTGGAGGCTAAAAAACTGTGAGCTAGCTCACAATAACTCAGCCTAGAGGGAACACTGGTGCACATCTTTCAGTGTGTTGTGCGGTCTCTTTCAAGAGAGCCACTAACTGTGCCTGTTTTTTTCCAGGTCCGCAGGGGCATTAAGGGCATTGTCCGAGACAAAGACACAGAACAAGGAATCGCAGATGCCATCATTTCTGTGGATGGCATCAATCATGACATCCGGACAGGTATAGCAACTCTTGAGGGCAACTGACCAGTGCTCATCGGCATACTCTCCAGGCAGCCAGTGTGGCATAGTGCCTAAACCAGTGGTGGCGAAGCTATGGCACTCAGAGCCCTCTCTGTGGGCACATGTGCCATCGCCCCAGCCAGGCCCAGACCATCATGAAAGTGTCGAATTCTCTGCCAAATAATTTTAAGTCAATGAAAGCATTTGGGATTGCGTTCCTTACTTTGTTTGGATCCTCTTAAGTTAATGTGTGAGTAGCTTTTTTTAAAAAGTAAAACCTCAGTATTCAGGTTAAATTGCCGTGTTGGCACTTTGCGATAAATAAGTGGGTTTTGGGAAGCAGTTTGGGCACGCGGTCTCTAAAAGGTTCGCCATCACTGGCCTAAACTGTCCAGCTTGGATCTGGGAGACCCAGGTTCGAATCCCTCACTCTGCCCTGCGCCTAACTGGGTGACCCTGGGCAAATCACAGTCTCTCAGCCTATGCTACCTGCAGGGATAAAAGGGGAAGAGTCATGTACGGCACTGTTTGTTCCTCGGAGGAAGACTGGGATGAAAATGCCTACATCACTCTGCCCTTCGCCTAACTGGGTGACCCTGGGCAAATCACAGTCTCTCAGCAGGGATAAAAGGGGAAGAACCATGTATGGCACTGTTTGTTCCCCGGAGGAAGACTGGGATGAAAATGCCTACATACCAATGAGCTCTGGCCTGAGGATGTCATGACGGCCATAGGAATAAACAGCTTGAAAAGGGGATTCAGGTACCGTAGATTCATGGAGGAGAAGTCTATCTGTGGCTACTGGCCATGGTGGCTGAGGGGAACCTCCACATTCAGAGGCACAAATTCTGTGAATCCCAAAGCCACGAGGTAACATCCAGGGAAGGACTCGGCCTCTCTGCTCCGCTGTTGGCCCTCCAGAGGAACTGGTTGGCCACTGTGGGAGACAGGAGGCTGGACCAGATCGACCCTCCCTGGTCTGATCCAGCAGGGCTCTTCTGATGTTCCTATCAGGGGAAGGCCTCGGCCTCTCTGCCCTGTTGTTGGCCCTCCAGAGGAACTGGTTGGCTACCGTGTGAGACCGGATGCTGGACTGGATGGACCTTCGCTGGTCTGATCCAGCAGGGCTCTTCTGAGGTTGTTAACAGGGGAAGGCCTCAGCCTCTCTGCCCTCTTGTTGGCCCTGCAGAGGAACTGGCTGGCCCCTGTGTGAGACGGGATGCTGGACTGGATGGCCCCTCCCTGGTCTGATCCAGCAGGGCTCTTCTTACATCCTTAAATTCAGCTCCTGAGCCACATTTGGGTTAATGGCACGTTTGAGTCAGAAAATGGCAACAGGCATGCGGTTGCACAACCCCCACTCGTAGCTATGGGACTTCCTAGTGAGAAAGAATTCTGTTTTTATTCATGGATTGCAGGGTCCAACCCACTATCTGAATTAGGGTTGCCAGCCTCCAGGTGGTGGCTGGAGATCTCCTGGGATTACAACTGATCCCCAGGCGACAGAGGTCAGTTCCCCTGGAGAAAATGGTCACTTTCGAAGGTGGATTCTACGGCATTCTAAGAAGAGAAGAGATTGGGTTTATACCCCGCCCTCCACTCGGAGTCTCAGAGAGGCTTACAAACTCCTTCCCCTTTCCCTCCCCACAACAGATACCCTGTGAGGTAGGCGGGGCTGAGAGAGCTCTCCCGAGAACTACCCTTGAGAGAACCGAGAACTTGTGACTGACCCAAGGTCACACCAGCAGCCGCATGGGGAGGAGCGGGGAATCGAACCCGGTTCTCCCAGATTAGAGTCCGCGCACTTAACCACGACACCAAAACTGGCTCTACCCCATTGAAGCCCCTCCCCAAACTCCTCCCTCTACCCAGGCTCCAACCCACCCACCCCCCAAATCTCCAGGTATTTCCCAACGCAGAACCCAAAGCAGGGTTGCCAGGTCCCCCTGGGTCACTGGCAGGGGATGGGGGGTTCAGGGTTGCCAGATCCAGGTGGGGGAACTCCTGGAGATTTGGGGGTGGAGCCTGCGAAGGAACCTCAGCTTGGGATACTGCCGTAGAGTCCACCCTCCAAAGCATTATTTTATTTATTATTTGTATTTACATCCAATGCTCCCTCTAAGCCATGGAGTCTCGTGAGCAGAAATTCTACTTTGTGAGCTCCTGGCATTACAGTTGTGAGCAAGCGATTTGGCTGCTGCATAAATGAGTCTGCTCTGGAGCCCTCCTTCCTGAGGAGATTAAAATGTGTGAGTCGGAGGCTAAATAACTGTGAGCTAGCTCACACTGACTCAGCTTAGAGGGAACACTGTTTACATCCCGGGCTCAGGGCGGGTGACATCATTTGTAATAAATACAGTCAGCATTTAAAATTTAAAACAACACAAAACATTAAAATTAGTAGTTAACAGCTAAAACAAAGCTTCGGCCGGCTAGAAAGGGTTCTGGCCAGTGTTCCCTCTAAGCTGAGTAAGTGTGAGCTAGCTCACAGTTTTTTAGCCTCCGACTCACACATTTTAATCTCGGCTCAGGAAGGAGGGCTCCAGAGCAGACTCATTTATGCAGCAGCCAAATCGCTCGCTCACAACTGTAATGCCAGGAGCTCACAAAGTAGAATTTCTGCTCACGAGACTCCACGGCTTAGAGGGAGCATTGGATGTAAATACAAATAATAAATAAAATAATGCTTTGGAGGGTGGACTCTACGGCAGTATCCCAAGCTGAGGTTCCTTCGCAGGCTCCACCCCCAAATCTCCAGGAGTTCCCCCACCTGGATCTGGCAACCCTGACCCCCCCATCCCCTGCCAGTGACCCAGGGGGACCTGGCAACCCTGCTTTGGGTTCTGCGTTGGGAAATACCTGGAGATTTGGGGGGTGGGGGTGGAGCCTGGGTAGAGGGAGGAGTTTGGGGAGGGGCTTCAATGGGGTAGAGCCAGTTTTGGTGTCGTGGTTAAGTGCGCGGACTCTAATCTGGGAGAACCGGGTTCGATTCCCCGCTCCTCCCCATGCGGCTGCTGGTGTGACCTTGGGTCAGTCACAAGTTCTCGGTTCTCTCAAGGGTAGTTCTCGGGAGAGCTCTCTCAGCCCCGCCTACCTCACAGGGTATCTGTTGTGGGGAGGGAAAGGGGAAGGAGTTTGTAAGCCTCTCTGAGACTCCGAGTGGAGGGCGGGGTATAAACCCAATCTCTTCTCTTCTTAGAATGCCGTAGAATCCACCTTCGAAAGTGACCATTTTCTCCAGGGGAACTGACCTCTGTCGCCTGGGGATCAGTTGTAATCCCAGGAGATCTCCAGCCACCACCTGGAGGCTGGCAACCCTAATTCAGATAGTGGGTTGGACCCTGCAGTCCATGAATAAAAACAGAACTCTTTCTCACTAGGAAGTCCCATTGCTATGAGTGGGGGTTGTGCAACCGCATGCCTGTTGCCATTTTCTGACTCAAACGCGCCATTAACCCAAATGTGGCTCAGGAGCTGAATTTAAGGATGTAAGAAGAGCCCTGCTGGATCAGACCAGGGAGGGGCCATCCAGTCCAGCATCCCGTCTCACACAGGGGCCAGCCAGTTCCTCTGCAGGGCCAACAAGAGTTTTTTTTAAAAAAAGGAACTGATCTCTGCAGTCTGGGGATGAGTTGTCGTCCCAGGGGATCCCCAGGCCCCACCTGAAGGCTGGCGTCCCTAGCCTGAAGACGTTTCACACCGCTGAACTCTCTTTTTCCTTGCCTCCCCGGCAGCTTTCGACGGGGACTACTGGCGAACCCCGGCGAGTACGACGTCACGGCGGCGGCCGAGGGCTATCACTCCGTCACCCGGAGCTGCCGCGTCTCCTACGAGGACAACCCCACCATCTGCGACTTCCGCCTGACCAAGACCCCCAAGCAGCGGCTGAGGGAGATCCTGGCCAAGGGGGGAAAGATCCCCAAGGACCTTGCCCTGCGCCTCCGTCTGCTGCGGCTGCGTAAACTGCGGTCCCAGCGGAGGGCCCAGTGAGGGGGGGGCGTTTCCACAGATTTCGACGATCCTGGCAACCCCTCGACCCCCCCGCCCCACGCCGTCTCTCTTAAGCCTCTTCCTTCCTCACGCGAGACTTTACGGTTCCATGTCAGGGGTCCCCCGCCTTTGGGACTCTGACACGGTGAGAGGAGCGCAGGCACAAAATGGCTGCCACCGGAGGCGGAGCTAGCCACAAAATGGCCGCCCCGGCTTACCTTCAGTCACAGAGTGACGATCTTTGTGCCGTGGTGGCAGCTGCTGCCAAAGCAACGTTTTTTTAAAAAATCTGTGCAGCCGATCATATCTCCTGTGGCCAATCAGAAGCTTTAGGGGGCAAAGCCCCACCCGGCCCCACCCACGTTCTAAAAATAATTGGTGGGTGTCAGGAAAGGTTTCGGTGGGTGCTGCAGGTACCGCATTGGAGACCCCTGTTCTAGGTATCGGGTGGGCGTTCTCAGCCCTTAACATCCGTGTTACTTAAGGGAGAAAAAAGTACATATATAATTTCTAGTTGAGGGGGAAATACATCAGGTCCTAATAAACCCACAACACAATCAAGGGCTGAAGAGCCCTTAAAGGTCCAGTGCTGCCATCTTCAGCCACCCCACGACACTAAGATTGGTGCTCGTGGCTTCCAACAGGTATGTGGGGTCCCATGCCTGCAGGCAGGTTTCCGTACCATTGATTCTGAAAACTGGATTTTGTGTGCACCTCCCTCTAGCTCTTTGGGGCTGTGGTCAGAGCCGGTTTGGTGTAGTGGTTAGGAGCACGGACTCTAATCTGGGAGAACCGGGCTCGATTCCCCACTCCTCCACGTGCAGCCGGCTGGGTGACCTTGGGTCAGTCCCAAGTTCTCTCAGAGCTGTTCTCTCACGAGCAGTCCTCGAGAGAGCTCTCTCAGCCCCACCCGCCTCACAGGGTGTCTGTTGTGGGGAGAGGAAGGGAAAGGAGATTGTAAGACGCTCTGAGACTAAACAGTGAAGGGCGGGGTAGATCTCCAGTCTCTTCTTCTCGCTTCTCTGTGCTCGCTCTCCTGTCTGCCTTCGTGGCTCGCTTTCCATTTCTGAGAAATACGGAGCCGGAACCGTTGGCAGACATTTCCTCCATCCCAAGAAGAGGTGGGACGGAGCTGAATGCTACAACACATCTGTGTTCGTCTCAGAGGTGGTGGGCCACCAATTCCAAAAGCGGCGACGTCCGGGAACGAGGCAAGAGGCAGGCTGTGCCTTTGGAATGAGCATGTTATACAACATCACTTTATACATCACCTAGCATTACTTTCTTGTAGGGTTGCCAACTCTGGCCGGGAAGATTCCTGGAGATTGCTGGGCACAGCCTGTGGAGGGGGGATTTGGGGAGGGGCTTCCACCTAGAATCCAAGGCATTCCATAGAGTCTTCCCCCCTGAAGGCGCCATTTTCTCCCGTGGGGCTGCCGTCTATAGCCTGTAAATAAGTTTCCATTCCGGGAGATCTCCGGGCCGCGCCTGGAGGTTAGCAACCCTGCATCCTTGAGCCCGAGGGCCAGGAAAGGGGGCTGTGGGACTAAGAGACGCAACTCTCCTGTGCCAACAGGCCAGCCCTGGCTGGAACGCACACACGGCAAGCAGTCATGATGTGGGGTGGGCATCATGCCCCGACTGTAGGGGCAATCCCCCCCCCCCGGAGCCGCTCTAAGACAAATGCTGGCATTGAAGCGCCCTTGCTAGCCAAGGGGCCGTTCAGACGGAAAGAGATCAAATAAACTTTTTGCTATTTAACCTTCCGCACTCTGCCTGGGCTGCAGTCATGTTTTCCCATAAAGACTACGCATTTCAAACAAGTAAGGCCGGGCTGCCAAAGAGGAGTCGTGTGGCTCAGTGGTACAGCCTCCGTTTGGCATGCCGAAGGTCCCCGGTTCAATCCCCGGAAGCTCAAGCTAAAAAGGACCAGGCAGGAGGTGATGTGAAAGACCTCTGCCTGAGACCCTGGAGACCAGCTGCGGTCTAAGCAGACAGCACTGACCTCAATGTACAGATGGTCTGATTCAGCATAGAGCAGCTTCAGATGTTATAGAATCTCACAGAGTCGGAATGGGCCTTAGAGGCCATCTAGTCCAACCCCCTGCCCGATGCAGGACCGGTGATGTCAGGGGGTGTAGAAAAAGAGGTGCAGGAGCTCATTAGCATAACTTATTTGCATATGCCACCCCCCCCGACATCACCGGAAGTGTGTCAGAAGGCAACCCCCACCACTCAGGCTCCACTGGACTGTTTTGGATTGCTAGCTATGGGGGGGGGGATGTGCAGATGTGTCCTCGCAGAGGAGGGAGAGCTTGTACCTGAATAAAACTTGGTCTTAAAGGTGCCACTGGACTGTTTTGGGCTGGGGGGCTCTGCAGCTTACCTGGCTGCTTCTTGCTCTGACTGAGGGCTGCTGGGAGCAGGGGGTGGGGCTTGTTGCATGTGCCCGCCCCCTGGGCTCTTTACTGCCGGAGCTCCGCTCCTGTGCGCTCCTGCAGGAAATGGCCCCTGAACAGGACCCATAAATAAGTGCCAAGAGGTCCGGCATGAAACACTAAGGCCCTTCCTTAACAGTCCGGTGTATGAAGTGAAGGAGTCCTTTAAGTATCGACTGGATGCCTACTTCTCGTAGATATTATAGTTGTAGTTCCTGGGTTGGACTAGATGACCCTGGTGCTCCCATCCGGCTCTGGGGACCCAAAGCGGCCCACCTCATTCTCTTCTCCATTTTATCCTCACAACAACCCTGTGAGGCAGGTTAGGCTGAGAGAGTGTGACTGGCCCAAGGTCACACAGCGAGCCTCCGCGGTGTGACCGGGGATTCGAACCTTGGTCTCCCAGATAAAGTCCGACGCGCTTTCCTGCTATTCCACTGAACTTGTGGCACACGAGTGGGACGGCCCTTCAGGAGAACCCCTGTGCTCAAAGTGAAAGAGCTCCAGGAATCAGGAGTCCAGGACAGGGAGGGGCCCAAGGACAGCCGGGGCCTAGAGGTCACAGCGGACTGGGCTGTTAGAAGACCTAAGGGGGGCCTCGTCAGATCTCAGAAGCTAAGCAGGGCTGACCCTGGCGAGTATTTGGAAGGGAGGCCTCCACAGAGTACCAGAGCTCGGGACGCAGGGGCAGGCAATAGCAAGCCACCTCTCTGAAATATCTGAGCCCTCACTAGGGGTCGCCAGAGGTCAACCATGACTTCCAGGCACACACGCAGGGCTATTTTTGGGCAGGAACGCACAGGAACGGAGTTCCGGCTGGCTCCCGAGTTGGCCACGCCCAGCAGGAACTCATTAGCATAATAGGCCACACCCAACAGCAGAAACTCATTCGGACTGGCTACAATTAGGGGTGTGTGGCCTAACGTGCAAAAAGCCCTGGGTTTTGACAACAAACAAGGTAAAGAGAATAAGAAGCAAAAGGTGGGTGGGGCTGGATGACCACACTTCTGGCAACATGGGGTGTGTGGCCTAATACGCAAATGAGCTGTGCTGTCAGGGGTGTGGCCTATTATGCTAATGAGTTCCTGCTGTTGGGTATGGCCTATTATGCTAATGAGTTCCTGCTGGGCTTTTTCTACAAAAAGAGCCCTGTACACACGTATACATATACATGTAAAGGTAAAGGTTCCCTTGCTCGAAAGCCAGTCGAATCCGACTCTAGGGATGCGGTGCTCATCTCCGTTTCAAAGCCGAAGAGCCGGCGCTGTCCGAAGACGTTTCCGTGGTCATGTGGCCGGCATGACTAAACACCAAGGCGCACGGAACGCTGTTCCCTTCCCACCTACTTGCAATTTCTTGCTTTCAAACTGCTAGGTTGGCAGGAGCTGGAACTAGAGACGGGAGCTCACTCCGTCTCGGGTCTCCATCTGCTGAACTACTGACCTTCCACAGCCTGCAGTTCAGCGTCTTAACCACTTGAGCCACCGCAGCTCCTACATATACATGTACACACACGCAAAAAGAGAGACACAGGGAGAGAGGGAGGATCTAAGAGTGGAACTGCAAGGTGGGAGGAGGGTGGGAGTTGGTGACCCCTCCGTAGCAATCCCTGCTGAGGCTGCTAGCAAAGCCCAAGCCCCCGGAACTCCCCCCACTCGGCCTGTGCAACCCGCACAACACTGAGCCTAGTACTTGTGCATGGGATAGAGAAGGTAGAGAGAGAAGTCCTTTTCTCCCTTTCTCACAATACAAGAATTCGTGGGCACTCCATGAAATGAATGAGCGGTAGGTTTAGAACAGATAAAAAGAAGTCCTTCTTCACCCAACGAGTCATGAACATGTGGAACTCCCTGCCACAGGAAGTGGTGGCAGCTACAAGCACAGCTTCAGGAGGGGATTGGATGAATGTATGGCACAGAGGTTCATGCTTGGCTATGAGCCAAAAGGTATAAAGGGAACACTCTGTCTGGGGCAGGGATGCTGTGAATTCTTGGTGCTTGGGGGGCCACAATGGGAGGGCTTCTGGCATTCTGGCCCTGATGTTGGATCTCCTGATGGCCCCTGGGTTTTGGCCTGGGCATGGTTTTGGACTGGACTGGTTTTGGACTGCACATGGCTTCTTTTATGTTCTTACGTCTGAACATCATTAAGCCAGCAGAGGGGGGGAGAGGGATGGGGTCAGGTAAGGAAAAAATCAAACGAGCTTCGGTTCTCCAGCATCTTCAAAGTATCGTTTATTAAAGAATCCACATTTCTTCAAAAAGCAATGAGCTCTAGGGCCTAGTTTAAGACTGCAGAGCGTCACCTGTTCTTTCCCATTCCCACTCGACAGCCTGCCGGTGGAAAGAGAGCGGGGGGCTCTGAAACGGACGGGAAGTCCACAGGAAAAGGTGCGGGGGGAGTCTTGACGCCCCCCCCCACTTGCTCCGTGCGCCGTACAGCCCGACAAACACAATGTCAGCGGCATACACAGCGGCACACCCGAAGCGCTACCTTGGCTCCGCGCAACGCCGACGGCGCCCCGAATCTCCAGAAAGCGGCTGCGCCAAACAGTGCCAGGATACAGCATGTGCTTCTCGGCAGCGCAGAGCTGCTAGAATTGCGGGCTCCGTCGACAAGACTCACTCACCTCGCTGCGTCCGGGGAATGGCAGCTTCGGGGCGCCCACCACCACATCCGATTCTCCGCTGGCTTGCGGAGCCTTGTCCTCGCCCACTGTTGGGCAGGCGTCGTTCATCCGGCAAGCTCCTCGCAGCATCTCGGATGGGCGGACCACGCGTCTCTGTCCCGCAGCCTGCCTTGACACAGAGTACGCCACGGATGCCTTTCTCCAGGGTCTGAGTTCCACCTGGGTGAGCCGCGTGAGAAAGTCAGCCGGAGAGGACAACTTCCAGGGGGTCCCGGCGGAAGGGGAAGCGCTAGGCTGCCGCCTGCTGGAGCAACAAGTTCTTCCTGTAGCAGGCCAGGCTGCAGAGGGGCACCCCGGTGCGCGAGCAGGAGTAGCGCTTGAGGTTGGGGCACCCGCTGACCCCACACGGGGTGGGTGGAGGCGGAGCGGGCGCGACGGAGGGCAGGAGGGGGAGGGCGGCCCCCGGAGGGAAGGAGACGGTGACGCCGCGGGCGGCGCTGCGGTAGCAGACGGTGGGGACGGCCCCGCCCTTGGCCTTGCGCTCCCGCAGGGTCTTGACCTTGGCCTTGCTGGTCTTGGTGAGCCGCTCGATGGTCTGGTTCTTGCTCTCCTCGGCCTTCTTGGCGGCCTGCAGGCGCCGCTTGCGGGCCCGCTCCTCCCGCTTCACCAGCATCTCCTCCGTCAGCTCCTTGGCCTTGTAGCCCATCGGCAGCTCCAGCAGCGGCTGGCTCTGTTGCTTGTGCAGCAGCGCTTTCTGCGGGGCAGACGGGGAAAGGAAGGGAGGGAGAGGAAGTTAAGACAAGCGGCTGCGGAGGCCGAGGCTCCGGGGCACAGCGACTGCGACACTGCGGAAGTGCCGCAGAAATAGCATCACCAAAACGGTAGAGCCGGGGGGGGGGGGGGGGAATTCCGAAGGTGAAGTGTTCCCTCTAAGCTGAGTTAGTGTGAGCAAGCTCACCATTTTTTAGCCTCTAGCGCACACATTTTTGCCTCAGCTCAGGAAGAATGGCTCCAGAGCAAACTAATTTAGGCAGCAGCCAAATTGCTCGCTCACAGCTTTAATGCCAGTAGCTCACAAAGTAAAATTTTTGCTCACAAACCTCCACAGCTTAGAGGGAACATTGCAGATGAGTATTTATTTTATTTATTTAAAATATTCAATAGCCGCCATTCTGTCTCGCAGAACTCCAGGGGGCTTACGCACAGTGTTCCCTCTAAGCTGAGTTAGTGTGAGCCAGCTCATAGATTTTTAGCCTCCGACTCACACATTTTTGTCTTAACTCACGAAGGATGACTCCAGAGCAAACTAATTTATGTAGTAGACAAATCCCTCGCTCACAACTTTATTGCCAGTAGCTCACAAAGTAAAATTTTTGCTCACAAACCTCCACAGCTTAGAGGGAACATTGCTTACACTATAAATAAAGCAATTAGAAAAACACACCTTTTTGAATGGTTGGGCCTCCCAAAATGGCCCCTATTCTAGCACGGAAAGAGTATCTGAATAAACGTTCTATTCAGATCTCGCCAAGCAATGAGGATGGAAAAACTGTTTGTGACATCTAGTAGCTTAATCTAGACTTATCTTACTGGGGATCGGGCAACCTTCCTTCTGCATTTGCTGTTAGTTATAAATGTTAGAAGACATACAATGGATAAATATTTATTGGATAAATATATGGAGCAGAGGTCCATCAGTGGCTATTAGCCAGAAGGTACAGATAGGAACTCTCAGGCTGGGGCAAGTGATGCTCTGTATTCTTGGTGCTGGGAGGGGGGGGCAAAAGTGGGAGAGCGTCTAGTGTCCTGGCCCCACTGGTGGACCTCCTGATGGCACCTGGTATTTTTGGCTGCTGTGTGACAGAGTGTTGGACTTGATGGGCCACTGGCCTGATCCAACATTAGCTTCTCTTATGTTCTCTTATGTTCTAATATTATAATTTATAAGGTCGTTGGTTGCAATCGTTTGGCTTTAAGGTCAGGGCACATAAAAAATTTCTCGTTTTAATAGAAGATTTATCAAGGGATTCATCCATTAAAAATTAAAATCACCTCCAACTATGATTTGACCTTGCTGAAACTGTGTAAGCTTTGAAAAGCGCACGCCAAGCAGAGGCTCTACCACTGAGCCACAACCCCAGGGAGAGCCAGACACTCTAACCACGCCGTCACACCAGCGGCCAAGCCGCTCCGCTCCTCCCTCTCACCTGCCGGGCCGTGAGCAAGGACTCGTCCACCTCCTTCTTGAGCTCCCCGTTGTCGTCCAGCTCTCCTCGCTCCAGGGCATCCAGCCAGCGCTGCTCCTCCTCTTCCTCCCGGGCCGGGAAGCCGATCTCCGCGTCGAGCTCAGGCAGGGGGGAGGGTTCCAGGTTGCTGTCCTCATCTGCGGGCGGACAGGAAGGGGGCAGGTTGTGTCACGGCTCCTGCCAAATGCGAGCAAGAGGCTCCTGCCGAGTGCGAGCAAGCGGCTCCTGCCGAATGCGAGCAAGCGGCTTTTGCCGAGTGCAAGCAAGCGGCCCCAGGAGAGGATCTAAGTGCTGCTGGGGATGAGCTCCCGATGCCAGAAACTCCCGGACCTGACAGGGCTGAGCTTCCAGACGCTACCCCAGCAACAGCTGAGGCAGAAGCACGCCCGGACAGTTCTCCTCCTGATTCGCCTCCACCGGTATCCCGTTTGAGAGAACAGTGCCGACAGGATATGGCAGCCCGGCAGCAAGAGGCACACATGCGTGGCAGGCGCTCATTCAGCCCCGAGTCCTAGCAGGAGCCGGGACTCGCTTGGGGCGCGCTAACTGCCAGCAGGCGTATGGGCTATTTAACCCACGCCCTCACGCCGACAAATCGTGCCGGCAACTAGTCTCTTCGGACGAAAGCTCTGCACCTCCTCGCTCGTAATCCTGACTCCTGGTTCCTGTCTGGATTCCCTCGGCTCTTTGACCTTGGCTTGAACTACTGCGCTTAGACCCTGCACCTCGAACCTTTGACTCCCTGGCTCTTGACTCTTTTGGACTCTGGCTTCCTGACGACTCTAACGGTTTGTGCTTTGAACTTGGTTTCCCGGTTGGTTTGCTTGCCTGGCTCTTGACTTTGGACTGTACCTTGACCACCCCGCTCTTGTTTTGTGTGTTGGACTTGGTTTCCTGGCTGGCTTGCTTGACTGGCTCTTGACCTCAGACTGTATCCTGACTAGGCTTCCCAAGTCCCCCCGGAGGACAGGGAAATCCCCGCCCCAGAGGCCTGTTCCCCGCCGCCGCCGGATTGGGCCCCGGGGGAAACTTCTCCCCGACGTGCGCGTCACCCGGAAGTGACGCGACCACGCCGAGCACACTGGGGGCGGGGCCACAGCCATCCAAGGGAAAACTCTATGGTTTTCCCTTGCATGGCCGT